GGGAGAGAGCTTAGACTTCGTCGTCTTCCCTCGACGCACCCACCTTAGAGAAAGAAGAGTTGCGACGATTGTTGTATGGATTCGGTGTTGGTTCGGATGACCAGGAACGCCGGACCTTGACCGTGTTCATCACGTACCTCCGATCAACTCATCTCGCTTCCGACCTTCCTCATCGCAGATGACGACAGCGTCTACTGCGATGCGGACGTACGGCGCGCGCTGAGCCGAACGGAGCAAGTGTGTGGGCAAGACCCGCCTCGGGCCTTTGAGATAAGGGGGAACAGGTTTGTTTTGATTGATCGTTTTGATTCCCCGACGCTAATATTGCCTTATAAGGGTTTAACGGTGTTGCCTTGGTCGGACGCTCACGCCGCATGGCGGCCGCAGTTTGATTGTCGCTCGTGTCGCCAGGGGGACTCGTGTTCTTGGCGACGGCTGGTCCTGGGTTACGAGGGAGCGACACGTTTCCCCGATCTTTCACGTAGTGCGGGGGCGCTGCCCGCGCAATTTCGAATTCAGATGCCGGCGAGTCCTCCTGCCGCTTTACCCTCCCAGAAACTTTCGTGCAGACTCTGTGAGTCCGCCTGTGACTTGAAGGCCTCAAACCGACCACCTCCACAGCAAAGACCCGAGGGTACAGCCACTTTGTGGGGCCGATGATGAGGCCTGAAGGCTTCGAACCCACCACCTATCCCCCAAACCCCTGACGGCCGAAGTTTTGTCTTCCGCTGCCATGGCCCTCTCCCCTTGATGCCTTTTTCCGTCCCGATGCATGACGGCAGTCCATTTTCGCGGAAACCTTTTTGATTTTATCGTTTCGGATTGATCCGATCCCCACGGGACTCCGCGATGACAGTTCGACTCCGGGGAAAACCTCTGGCACGAAACGAGGGCCTCCCGTTCTGTATGGGAGACTCAACCCTAACGGCCAAAAATTCTCGGCCACGCCCCTCTTAGAGCTCTGATCGGCAACCCGTACGGTGTCAGGCGGCCACAAGTAGTGCGCCGCCTGAAAACGGCAGTTTAGGGGTTTAGGCTCAGGGTTAAGTCCGCGTTTTGACAGTGCTTTGGGATGACCGGGCTGCRGGAATTATGAGAACTCAGGGTACCCCTGATTCTGGACGCACTAGATTTTAAGAGTAACCCCCAAAGACAGCAAGATGGATGGGTGCACTGAGCACAACTAGAGACCGTCATTTCCGGTCGCTAAGAGGATTGGGACCGTGTTGACCGGCCACGGAGAGGGATCGCGGAAACAGACCTCGCCGCGGCATTTTAACAGCATACAACCGGGGCCGAAATGAGGGCTCGGAATTTTGTCTATTCTAATATCATAATTAAAAATAAAACAAAAAGATTAAGACCAGAAGAGGAGCGGAGGAAAACGCAATATTCTTTATTTTCTTCTTTTTTTACTATATTTAATCTTAGAGGAAATTCCCTTGTTATTTTATGTTTTCGACGATGGAATTAAAAACATAAAAAAAATATTAAAAATGGTAAAAGGGAAAGGAAAC